CAAACCAACTTCTATGGACTCAAGGTACCTCCTATAAAGATCCCGAGTCAAAACTCCAAGTTTCACTTTTCGCCATATTTACGAAAGTGCCACTGGGCACCCCCAGTGCACGCCGAGCATCCTTTTACGCATCTTGTGTGCACGCTGAGCATCTTGTGCACGCTGACAACCCCCTGAGCAATCCTAATGGCTGTCTAACCAAAGCCAAAGTATTCTCAAGACATGGCATGGCCTTGAAATGCCCATGTCTTCCCTTGGACAACCGTCAAGGGGCTAACAAACCACCCCCACCAGAAGAAGTCGACGCCCTCGTCGACTTGTCCAAGTACTCCCTTACCTATTTCTCAAACTGCCATAATGTCACATCCCTTTCCCAACTCGCCTCTGCTTCACTGCATCCTTTCCATTGCACCAAGTAATCAGTTCTGCGATTTTTCTTACTCTGACCCTGGGTCCGGTGAGATAAAATCTTCTCCACCTCCTTGTTAAACTGCAACCGAATAACAGGTGGGGCTCTCTTAGCCTGTTGCCTTGATGTATCTGCAGTGTCCTCATGAAAAGGCTTGAGGAAACTCACATGAAAAGTAGGATGGACCTTCAATCTCTCAGGTAACTGTAATCTGTAAGCAACATTCCCCACTTTCTTCACAACTTCAAATGGACCATCATACTTCTGAATCAGCCCTCTGTGAACAGTCTTGCTGCTTATCTTCTTCCAAATCTGTGGAGTCAACTTCAACAGAACCTTGTCTCCCACTTGGAACTCTAATGGCTTCTCCCTTTATCTGCTTACTTTTTCATCCTTCTCGCAGCCTTGGCAAGGCTGTCCTGTGCCTCCTCCACCATCTCTTGCATGGAACGGGCATATCGGTATGCTGCAGGGCATCTTCCACTAATCCTCTGCACTGCCACCTCCTGTGGTGTGCGAGGTTGTTGCCCTGTTGCCAACTCAAAGGGACTCATTCCTGTTGCTGAAGACCTGTGCAAATTATAAGAGAATTGTGCAGTGTCTAGTAACTCCAGCCAATTTTTCTGACTTGCAGTGACATAGTGCCTTAGATATTCTTCCAATAACTGGTTCATCCTTTCAGTCTGTCCGTCAGTCTGAGGATGGTTTGCTGTGGAGAACTTCAGTTCAAAACCCATCAAGCCAAATAGCACTGTCCAGAACCTTCCCGTAAATCTGGTGTCATGATCACTAACAATATCTTCGGGCAAGCCAAAATATTTCACCACAAACTTATGAAATAAACCAGCAGCAACTTTCGCTGGGCATGCATGTGGTGCAGCAATAAAAATTGCATACTTAGAGAATTTATCTACAACCACAAAAATAGATCTCATACCTTCCACCTTAGGAAAACCAGAAATGAAGTCCATTGAAACTGACTGCCATGGACGCTCTGGTATAGGCAAGGGTTGCAGTAGCCCTGCCTCCTTCTTCCTCTCATGCTTGTCTTTCTGACAGACCAAGCAAGTCTTAACATATAACTCTATGTTATCCTCCATCTTGGGCCAGTAATATGATCTGGATATCAACGCCAGCTAACTATCCACCCCTGGATGTCCAGCCCACTGGGGATCATGCATTTCCCGCATTAGTTCCCGTCTCAAACCTCCAACAGGAACATATAATCTACCTCCTCTAGTGTAGAGTAGATTATCTTCAATCCAGTACTTTCTGACTTCACTATCAGCAACCTGTTGCTTAAGTTTCTGATAGGCATTGTCGGACTGCGATTGCTCTTTGATTCTATCAAGGAAATCAGTATACACCGTTGTCAACGACGCCATATACTCCTGCATTTCTTTCCTACTCAAGGCATCAGCAACCTGATTATGCTTTCCAGGTCTGTGAACCCACACAAAATTGAACTCCCCAAGAAACTCTTGCCAACGAGCTTGCTTTGGAGTAAGCTTTTTCGGTGTCTTGAAGTAGGTATTGGCCACATTATCAGTCACTACTATAAACTTGGTACCCAACAGATAGTGCTTCCATGCGTCAAGACAATGTATCACTGCAGTCATCTCCTTCTCGTGAGTTGTATACCTCTGTTCAGCATCCTTAAGCTTCCTGCTTTCAAAGGCACATGGGTGTCCTTCTTGGACTAGGACCCCACCAATTGCTCTATCAGAGGCATCAGTATGCACTTCAAATGGCAAACCAAAATCAGGCAGTCTCAAGACCGGTTCTGTAGACACTGCCTGCTTAAGCATCTCAAAAGCATTCTGGCACTTCTCAGACCAAACCCACTGTTTGTCCTTCTTCAGCAAGTCCGTTAAAGGACTAACCTTCTTGGAATACCCCTTTATAAACTTTCTGTAGTAGTTTGCCAACCCTAGAAAAGATCTCAACTCTGTCACTTTGGTAGGTGCAGACCAATCAAGGATGGCTTTCACCTTTTTCTCATCCATTCTGACATGGCCCTTATTGATCCAATGCCCCAAAAACATTACTTCTTGGCGACAAAACTCACACTTCTCCTTTTTGACAAATAACTGAAACTCCTTCAGTTTTGAGAAAACCAATCTCAAGTGTTTTAAGTGATCTTTCAATAACTCACTATAGACTACAATGTCATCCAAATAAACAACAACAAAGTGATCGATGTAGTCATAAAACACATTATTCATTAAGTTGCAGAAGGTTGCCGGGGCATTAGTTAGCCCAAACGGCATTACAAGAAATTCATAAGACCCATAACGAGTTACACATGCAATTTTGGGTTCATCTCCTTCTGCTATACGCACCTGCCAGTAGCCTGCACGTAAATCCAGCTTAGTAAAATAGGATGCCCTTGACAACCTGTCAAATAAATCTGCGGCATTGGGCACTGGGTACTTGTTCTTCACAGTCACCTTATTCAGAGCCCTATAGTCCACACACATCCGCATTGAGCCATCCTGCTTCTTCTGGAACAACACTAGCGCGCCATACGGTGCCTTGGATGGTTGAATATAGCCAGACTCCAGCAACTCATCCAACTGTCTACGCAGTTCAACCAGTTCTGAAGGCGCCATTCGGTATGGGGCCTGAGCAGGAGCCCTTGCACCCGGCTCCAACTCTATCTTGTGATCAACAGCACGTTGAGGGGGCAATTGCTTGGGTAGTTCTGGTGGCATCACTTCTGCAAATTCCTCTAGAATTTCAGCAACAGAATCCGGAACTTCAACAAGCTGGTCCGGTTTGATCTCTATCATAGCTGCAAGAAAGGTAGAGTCTCCCTTCTTCAAACCTGTTTTCACTTGCAATGCAGAGATTATTTCGATGCAACCATATTTACGATCTTCCTTCTTTTGGTGCCCATAAAGAGCCACTGATGGAATAAAACATGGAAAACTCCTGTCCCGAATAAAAACTCCTCCTAAATATGGCACAACTACCACTCTGGCTTTCGTAAGGAACTCAATTCCAAGAATTAGATCAAAATCATCTAAGGGTACAGCCATAAGACTAACTACGCCCTCCCAACAACCAACTTTCATAGAAATGGTGGCCATGCCTAAGACAGGCTTGGCTTCAGAATTTACAGCTTTCATCTTATTAGCATGTGGAATTAACTTTAAATTAAAGTTACTTACTTCCCTCTGCGCAATGAAGTTATGAGTGGCTCCCGTGTCCACCATTGCCAAAACTTCCTTGCCGTTCAGCGTCACCTGAATGAACATGAGCCCTTTCAACTCCATGGACTGTTCTTCAGTAAGAGCATTCAGCATTTGCAGAGGATTAACTCGGGTTGGACCAGATTCCGAGTTTGAGTCTCCTTTTGAATCAGCGATAATAACACTTAGTTTCTCCCTCTTGGGGCAGTCCCTAACACGATGGGGACCATTACAGATGAAACAACCGTAGTTGGGCTTAGTCCCACTACTACTCTCTTTGTTATTGTAATCTGCCTTGGCCTTGACAAAGCCACCGCCTTTATCCTTCTTTTGATTCTTGTCCTTCTTCTTGTCCTTGAACCTGAAGGACTGGCCTTTGTCTTTCTTCCCCTCCTTGGACTTCTTCTTGTCTTGTGTAGTAGACCCAGTCATCTTGAAATCTACAAGACAATCTGCCGCTGTCATGGCAGTGGGAAGGTCACTCACATCTTGCCTACGGAGTTCTGCCTGAGCCCATGGTTGCAATCCGGACATGAAATTAAACAGCTTGTCCTCCTCTGACATATTTCGAATGTCCAGCATCAATGAACTAAAGTCCTTTACATAGTCACAAACGGTACCTGTGTGCTTCAATTTCTTCAGAGATTCCCTTGCAATCCATGCAATGTTCTGAGGCAAGAACTGGTCCTTCAATTCCTTCTTAAGGGTCTCCCAAACTTCAATTCGAGGCCTACCCGCAGAAGCATTGTCCTCTGTCCGTGTGCGCCACCAAAGCTTTGCATCACCAGACAGATACATGCTTGTAATGGTCACCTTTTCGCCATCGGGGATCCGAGCAGCCTTGAAGTACTGCTCCATGTCCCATAGGAAATTCTCCAACTCTTTGGCATTTCGGGTACCACTGAAAGACTTAAAATCCGGCACCTTGATCTTCTGCGAAAGAGGATCACCACCACCTCTGGAACTCCCATGAATGGCCCTCTTCACCAAGGACACTCCATCTTCAAGGTCTTTCAGGTTCTTCTTGAAGACATCAGTCAGCGACTCAATATCTTCAGAGATACGGGTCAATTGCTCTTTGGTGGCCGGCATGAAGTCACCAAACCCATCAGGATCAGTCTTCAAGATCTCCACTTCAGAAGCCAAGTTTTTGATTCGAACAATAAGGCTCTCTGTACCATCTTGTACCTCTGTTTCTGTAGGAAAACCCACGAACTCTTCCAAACGGGGAACTCTCTCACGAGTATTACCTCCAGCCATCGTAGAACGGGGCTCTGATACCAATTGTTACAGGGCTGAATTACACCACGAATTTTTGCCTCTGTAATGGCACTTGGGGCCACCAAGTCTCAGCCAACACAACAACACAATACACACAGTATAGAAATATAAAGAAGGCACACACAGTTTACAGGTACAAGCCCCAACCTTTGCTCATATTAAACATATTACAAAGGAACATGAGTTCGTACAAGGAACAACCAAGGCTCACACCCTCCTCTCTGTTCCCTCTACAAATCCCACTTTAGCATTATATAGGCCACTCTCAAAACCGCCCATAACTGCCCACTAAGATGATGGATGACACCCCCATCCACCTAGGGTCGTGCTGGCACCCTCTAAATGTGCCAGCACTATAATGCAGTTGACAAGCCCAACTGCTAGACTTGTTGGCATGTTCTGCTCATGCCACATAACCACAAGAAGTTACATTCTGCATAGTGGAAGAAACCACCCTTAACTGCCTGTGTGTTGGTCCTCTCAGAATTGTGCCACATGCTTGGGAGGTTACTCAGCACTCCCCTACTTCCCATGGTGAGTGGGAAGTGCTAGTAACTTCCCCCAACCGACCGAGCCCACTAAGCCACCACCTCTTGTAACCGCAAGCCATGACTTTGTGTTATCCATGCTCTAGCCACATCTGAGTTAACCTTGTGAACCTAGCCCAAGCCAAGTCCACCAATCTGCACCCACATATATATGTCTCTGAGTGCACGGCGTGCCAAGCCATGCACGCCCATGCGCACGCTCGGGTGTACACCAAAGTGCACGCCGGCGCACACACTAATGCCCTTTTTCACGCGCCATGTTTGAACCCTCATGCGCCCGTGGCTGTACACCCACCTGGACGCCCATGCGCACGCCGAGCTAGACGCTCGCGCACACTAGGTTGGACGCCTACCCGCGCGCCCACCTGCACGCCCGCACATGCGCCGCTGCATATCAGCGCGCGTGTCGGTGCCCACTTGTTTGCCCTTCAATATCTTGGATGCTCCCCACTTGTGCAACCATCTTGGAGTGGTGCAACACGTGCCCATGCATGCTGGTTAAGTCCTCTAAGCAAGCCATGCCATAGCCCAACCGATGTGCTCAACAGACCCCCCCTAGTATAGTCTTAAGGAAATCCAACACTCTGACAGGAGTAAACATCACCCATGCTTGAGGAGTCATAATGGCTTTTCAGGCCTTTCCCAATATCCAAATTGAGTGCCGTCTGTGCCAACCAGCTTCTATGGACTCAAGGTACCTCCCATAAAGATCCCGAGTCAAAACTCCAAGTTTCACTTTTCGCCATATTTACGAAAGTGCCACTGGGCACCCCCAGTGCACGCCGAGCATCCTTTTAAGCATCTTGTGTGCACGCTGAGCATCTTGTGCACACTGACAATCCCCTGAGCAATCCTAATGGCTGTCTAACCAAAGCCAAAGTATTCCCAAGACATGGCATGGCCTTGAAATGCCCATGTCTTCCCTTGGACAACCGTCAAGGGGCTAACAGTAATCCTCATCCAGTAGGTCCTGAAATCATGAGAAAGAATCAAAAAATGTTCAGTATCCCATATTCCCATCTCTATTAAAAGCATCAAAAGAGACCTAAATTTTTTTTTTGATAAGTCAAAAGAGACCTAAATTTAATATATATGTACACATATGCATATAAATAACTAATAAACTATATGACACAATCTACAAACGTATATAACTAATACACATTGAACTAATTGCCCGTCTTTGGAAAATTGGACTGGATGTAGGATGCCTTCTGAATTCATATTATCACACTGGACAATTCAAGTATATACAACCTAAAAATAAAAAAACTCCCTGAATCAACTTTTTCTTCTCTCTTTATTTTATTTCATGGTAAGTCCAATCAACTCTATTAAGGAAGTTTTTGTAAAGATGAATAAGAAGCCTTGCAAATACATAAAGCTGGAAAAGTTTGTCACAAGATTCAACATAAAAGGCAACAACTGCCCCTCTCAACCCCATTCCCTCTTCTAGTACATGTGGTCAGCATCAGCATTGTTTTAAACTTAAAACTTCCACATTGGAAGTCATATGAAACCAAGCTTGGTCCCATAGTTGACATCTGATCATTAAGTACTAGAACAACTAAAGAAGCTAACACAAGCCCATACACACACATATATAAGATACTCACCAGAAGTCATACTCTCGGAGTTCGCGAACGAAGGGCTTGCATTCGGCCTGGGAAAGTACAGGGAGAGGATGAACCATAAAGTGAGGTAGGTCCGGAGATGACAGATATTTTTCCAGGAAAAACATCAACCAAAGCACACAATTAATGGTAACTAAACCAAGTCCACCAATAAAAATTGCTCGATACATGTAAACTGCTGCCAAACAAAATGCCACAATCCATCGCTGCACCATACAATAGATAATTTTATCCCTCCACTGTTGCATAAGAGCTGCAAAGTAAGAAGCCAAGCCCGTCCATGTTGAAGAAACAGTGTCCTTAGGTCCATTCAGGAGAGTAAAAAAGTTCCTAACCTTTTCCCTATGGCATATCAGAATAAAAAAACAAAAATAAATAAATGAATTAATAGGGGGTCATTTGGTAATGTTTCTATTCTGTTTCTTGTTTCCAAATGACTGAAAAACACAAATAAGTCAAATAAACATGTTTGGTAATATTATTTTTATTTTTAGAATTTGAGAACACGTTCTTCAAAAGCCCAATTTTTAAAAACAAAAAAAGTTGTTTCAACTTGTTTCTCATCAAAACACAGGAAATTTGTTTCCAACTTATCCGCGCACATAAGTCTCTCGTTTAAATCTCTCTCCTCAAACCCTTTTTCCCTCGTTCCACACGCTCTCTCTCTCTCTCTTCTTCTTCTTCTTCCCTTCTCCATACCTAAAAAACACGAGGTTCCTCTTGACACGAGATGAATTTAGTTCCATCAAACATGCTCAAATTTTCAAGGAAAATAATTAAAACTCGATTAAGATCTTCCCGATTTCAACCCAAAATCTGTATCAGATGAAACAAAAAAAAGGATTCAAGCTTAGATTCAATAACCCAGGAAATCTTCAAGAAATTCGCCATTGGTGCTCAGACGTATACGTATTCTGGGTGCACACTTAGGTCTGTCTTTTCTTTCCATTCTTTAATTCAATTGTGTGACTAACTTGGTAATAGAAGGGAGACTGAACCAACGTGCTCTAGGTCTTTGAAATCCAAATCATGCCTTTAACTGCGAGAGGAAAAAATATATATATTTAGGTTGGAAGCTTCTTGTTTACAAAATTCAACAAACAAATTAATGTTACCAAACATTATTCTGTTTTTAGACAGAAAAAAGGCTGAAATAGAAAACAGGTAAAAGTAAACCTTACCAAACAACAAAGTGTTACTGATTGGAAAAAGAAAGAATGGATGAATAAAAAATAAAAATAAAAATAAAAATAAAAACCATCCTCTGGTCCATACATGAAGAAACAACCAGGGCAACCCACATCAAGAAGATGAATAACAAAAAATAATATTCATTGAAATAAAACTCAAAAATTGAGTGTCTGGAGGGGAAAAAGAAAGTACCAAAGTAAAGAAGATCTCGCAGAAGCAGCAGTGTCCTCAGATCCATTCACATGAATAATAAAGCTGTTAACTTTCTCGCTGTTGCGTAAGCATCCATGAAGAACCAAACATAAGGTTGATGTGGTCAGATAGGAATGGTTTCTTTGATCAATAGAATTAAGAAATATGAAATGATAGTATAAGGATATAAATTTATATATTCTAGCTTTCATAGGCAAAAGTTAGATGAAACCAAGTCAGATCTAGCTACCACCACTGCCAGCCAGCCTTAATGGTTATCCAAGCCCCTTGCTTTGCCGTCCCGATTGAAAGAGGAATAGGAAGAGGAAGAAGAGTTACCTGGGAACAACACCGCTTGTCGCCGCCGTTTCCTCCATCGCCATCGTCGTCAGAGTAGAAACCCTATGCAGCTGCCTCTTCTCACCTAAATTGGAGACTTTGGAGTTGAGATCATCTCTCTCACCTACAAATTAATGTGGGGAGTAATCAAAAGTAGATTCAAACCCAAGCCACCATTCAGATCCTTTGTTGCTTACCGAACCAGCGCAACTCCTTTATTGCTTACTGAACAAGCCCAACTCGACATCCAATCCAATGAGTTAAAATCCTCCATTAAAAAATTTAGATTTTAGTGACCAAAATCAAAATAATAATTTTAAAGTGATCAAAAAGTATAAAAAGAGTAATAGTCACCAATTCTAAAATTAAATTATTCTTTATGCTCTATTTAGTAAGATGAGAAAAAATTATACGAAAATGAGAGAATAAGAGATGAATGAGACATTCTTAGGAAAGAGATAGACTAAAAGTGTTAAATTATAAATAATCCCTTATTTTGTTTGTTAGGAAATAAAGTGAAAGTGTTAAATTATTAATAAATAAATAATTGTAATTTTAAAATATTTATAATTGCATTGCCTTTCTTTCTTTCTTTGCATCTTTCGTCCATATTTGGAGGAAAAAAATTTTGTTAATAAAGAAGAATTAACAGGCTGCAGTTTGTTTTCATATCTTTCTTGCAATCTATTCATCTACATGTGGCAATTTTTTAATTTTTATATTTTTATGAAGCATGGTTTACAATGTAAAAATTCACGGGAACTATTGAAACTCGTAAATTGTGGCTCAGGTTAGGTAACATTGATCGAAAGAATAATTCGCAGGCTTTTTTTTTTTTTTCTCTCTCTCTCTTTTTGGTTTCGTTTTAGTAACGGTATTAACTCTGCTTAAAAACATAATTTTTTTTAGCTAGTTAAGAATATATTTGGATGCTCTGTTGTTATGGAGCAAAATTGTTAATCTATCAATGTTGTTGCTTTGCTTTGGAATCTCCAAGTTTTTACCGTGCACTTGGAGTATTTTGATTGATCATATTGTCATTGAATTGGCATTTTAATGGAATCTCTGTGATTTTATTTTCTTGTCTTCTTCCTTATGATCACATTTTAATGGCAGTTGTTCGGTTTTAATCTTTATCTTACATTGAACATATATATAAACCTTTCCCTTGGCTCTGTTATACCGCTGGTACTTCTCTCAGTTGTAGTTTATTTGTTCATTTGGGACTCTTTTTGTTCCTTGTTTGAATTGTTTGTCTTGAATTAATGACTATGATTGTCGATTTATATCTGTACAATATTTACTTTATGCGGAATGCAATGCAATGCACTCGAGTGTATCCCACATCATGTTGGATAATTTTCACTCTCGCCTGTCTACAATACCGTACAGTGGTATTATGCACAAAAAATGATCTGAGTCTGTTAATTAATATGTATTGTAAACTAAAAGATAACATTATCATCTTTTTAATATGTGATAGTGTGTGTGGTGACCATCTTAATATATGATTCTTTTACATTACTTTTTATTTTATTTTTTACTTTTAAATTTTAAAGAGAACATACTTTTCATAGAAATGATAACACAATATACGTTGGTAAAATATATACTTCATGTGACTTTTAAGATATAACAACCATTGTACTAAAATGATATGAGATAACTAACAATATTCTTAGAAATAATTAATTAAATATGCAAAATAAAGTAATAAATTAATAAATAATAAATAAAGAACCTGGACTAAGGCTAGTATTGAATACTATATCCTTAATACAGATTCGCTTCGCTATGGTGCTAACGAACTCAGTGGCATCTATCTCCCAAGATACAACGGTCTACATCCACCAATAGTAGCACTACAAACTCGTGGATACGTCGAACCTCCTCCGTGTAATACTCTCTCTAACTCAAAAATGCATCTATACTATATAAATGCTGAATTGGATGCAATTCAAACCAAATGGTTTGGACCAATCTTAATATGGCTCGATGAAATTGGATTAGGGTCTAAGTGGCTCGGACCATTTAACATATGGTTTGAACCCACTTGGGTTGGGTTCAACTCTAGAGAGGGAGAGAGAGAAAATTGAATTGAACAAAAACAAATGGCAGCTCAAGGGGGTATTTATAGAAATAGAAGTGCGTTTTCGAATTGGGTGTGTCTCTTTATCATTAGACACAACCATTTATATGTGTCTCTTCACCATTAGACACATCCCTCCAATTGATTGCAATGGTTCATGTGGTGTCTGTTTACCAGTAGACACATCCACTCCAATAAGTTGTAACCCTTTAGAAACAGATGCAACTCTTTGGAAAACAAATGCAACCTTTTTGAAATAGATACAACCCTTTGGAAAAAAGCCAACTTTTAATTTAAATTTCAAAACCAACCACCCATTTGAATATGCCCAGCTAAAAAATAAAGGCCAAATCCAAAATTCCATTTAAAAAGAATAATCGGACTTAACAATTAGGCCCAAACCCAAATTTGGCTTATTTAAATTTCAATTGGTTTAAACATTTTTTCAATGTGGGATAAACACTTCCCACATTTTGCATACCCACTTAGACTTATCAAAATACCATACTTTGGAACTAATTTCTCATTTATCTGGAAACGGATTTGAGAAAGTAAATATACCAAAATGCGCTCGTTTAGAGATGCATAAAAAAAAATTCTTAGCGAAATCTATTCCAAATCTAATCCAAAGTTTATATTTTTAATGCCCCCGTTTCCAACAGTATAAACATAACTTATATTTATAACCAAAGTGAAGATGAAAAATAACAGTGATTCTCAAAGGTAGTTGCGCTCTTCTTTTATAAAAAAAGGTTGTACAACACTTATTAACAAGAAAAATATATATAAAAAGGAAATTTACAGAGTTAAAATAATAATAATAATAATAATAATAATAATATTTGAGATAAGCATTGAAATTTGTTGGACAACTATTAAATTTCACTATTGAAAAAATGAAAGGAAATAAAAATTTTAATATATAGAAATAATTTTTTTGGGGAGTCTTTATAAAATTAACATAACGGATAAATATAGAAATCTTTTGGGCCTACTATTTAAATTTCTCTATTAGAAGAAAAATAATTTATTTTAAAAGATTATACTATACGGAAGTAATATATTTTGGGCGTTAGGCTACAGTTAAGCCCTAATTATTATTTATAGAATGAACTTATTCAAAAATATTTCTCAAAGGAACCTAATCACCATATTGTTAAATTAAGTTGATAAATATTTTAAACATTTTTCTGCACATCACGGCTTTGAAAAACCAAAATAATATCTAGCATAAACATAGACGCTTCTAAACCAATTCATGGAAGAACGACAATAAAAATGAAAGAAAAGCACCCTTTCTAGGGAGAAACCAAAATAATATCTAGATAATTAAATTTTAAAATTCTACACGCAGACGTGCATAGAATGAAAAATCCACGGCCCCATTAGCCACTGGCACATTCAACTCTTAATATGCAAAGCAACAATAAATTACATTCTTAATCATCGAATTAACTAACAAATCAGATAAAAATTTTACCCAGTAAGGAGTACAGAAATCGGACCAGCTGACATTCAAAATTTGGAAAGTGCTGTTTTCTCTTGTGGTCACAGTTTGAAGACTCTTAAGTATAAAATGTCCAGATTGGCATCTGACACACAGGCTTAATTACTTAATGTAGCATAACATGACGGGCAGACGGTTATTTGTAAGAGGCTAGGCCATGTCTGTCTAGCATCCTGCCGGAGACGACATTTCTACACTCCTAGATACATGGCAACACCTCAAAAACGTCTACAGTTTTTTCCAGAAGAAACTTATAACATACACGCCGAGGAAACAAGTCAAACATGCTATGAACACTTCAATTTACCAAAAGAACACATTTGTGGAAATAAAGATTATAATGGAGTAGAATTAGCAGTATTGCACATTTTTAAGTACATGTACTATATTATTTGAGTTCATTTTCTCATACAGATATTCATATAAAATTTTAAATAAATTAATAAATCTTAATCGAGAAAACTGAAAAAACTAGCATACCAATCATTCATTTATTCCCTTTCCAAATAGCAAGCAGAGGAAGCTCAAGCACTAGGCAAATGCCTAGGGCCCCACCTGAACAGAGGGGCCCAGTAAAAAATGAGAAAACTAATAAAACTAGCATAACAATCCTTCATTCATTCTCTCTCCAAGTAGCAAGTAGAGGAGGCTCAAGCACTAGACAATTGCCTAGGGCCCCAATAAAAAAAGGCCCAGTCAGATTTCATATAGCTCCCAATGTAGTTTTACATTTGATATGCTTCAAGTCCTTGGTGTGGATCCATAAATATTTTGAATTTAAAAAATAAACTCTTCCAATTCTTAGATTTCTATACTCTACTTCAATTACATCTTTTTCTGGTACTTTTCTTTGTTATTCTAGAATTTGTCCAACTTGTATTACCCTTTTTTTTCTTCTAAACTTCTCTTTACTAACTATTTGTGTGATTGTTGTCAAAACCTAACTTTTCAGTCCTCAAATCATACACCACACAAATCTGGTATCTGAAGATTTCTTAAAATTGTCTAAAAATGAGAAATAATCACCAAATGGCATTTTGGTAATGCTATAACTTCACCCCGTTAACAATATCGTGTTTGATCAGATACTTTGAAATATAACCTAAACGGGTAAGAAACTCAAAATCCGTTGTTTTAACTTTTCAAAGTTCAAGGTTGTTTCACTGGAAATTAATGGGACCTTAAGTTTTCATCGGAACTTTAAACAGTTCTCCTTAGGCCTGCAGTTGTATTGGGCTGACCTAATAGAACGGGTGTAATTTTTTGAAAGAACCTTGTCAATATCGAGTTGGTAAAAATACCGAAACCTATAGGGGACCTCAGATAGGACCGAATACCACAAACATATTGTAATTTGAAATATTTTAATATATAGATATATATATATATTTTGGGTATTCCTAGTTGCATGACCAACACATGCCTAAGATGATGAGAAATGGAATTTCCAATGGGGAAAATAAGTGTGTAATCATTGTAGAATACAAACAAATTTTGAATCCTCGGGTCATCTTTGAAAGAAAAACAAATGGTGCATGTTAAGAGCAAATTGTGTAGAACCTACTCTTGACTCAGTAGCCTGGAAAATAACCTCAAGTTTCTATGTGCATATTAGGAAATGTTATATTTTAGTTTTAATATATAATTTTTTCAAAATTGTAAAAGTACACCCAATTCAAACAAACAAAAGAGGCCTTTAGTCTCGACCTTGAACACTTCCTTTTTACTGCTTATCATCTTTCTCTCATAAAGCCTCTTTGCAATTTTTTTACAAAACACATATATTTCCTCTCCTCCACGTTAGTCATTGATATCTCTCTTTTACCCTATCATTCTTTCTTCAAGACAGAAAGAGGAAGAGACAATCATACAAATAATTAAAAAATAATAATAAGAATAAGAATAAGAATAAGAGTTTTTGTGAATTGACATTTCAAATAATTAAAACTACAGTAGTCTTGCAATTTAGTTAGATTATTTCATATATCAAATAAATTATCATGTTACGTTCAAAATATAAAATCTCGTCGATGACAGTCATAAATGTATAGAAAAGAATTATTATCAATCGATATTTAAGTTTTCATATTTCTATTTTGGTAAAAAAAAAAAAAAAACATAATAATAACCATGACATTGCTCAACACTGCCCCCCACTAATTTAAATTCATGGCTCTGCCACTAGTTATTTATACCTTCATAACTTTTATAACCACAAATGCACTTGAACGATAAAAATAGAACTGATTCAATTAAGAATGTTTAAACAATTTGATAAGATAATCTAAAATATGAGAAGTGCATATTTTAAATAATTATGCAAATATAATTATAAAGGTTACTGATAACGTGATTGATATATGTATTGATAATTAAGAAATTACTAGTTAGTGAATAATAATTAATAATTTGGTATATACTATATCTTTTTTATTTTATTTTATTGATAAATTCGTATACTATATTTAGTTCTTATTAAGTTAATAACTTTGTTTACCAATAAGTAATCTATGTATCAAATAACTAGTACTAGCAGGCGAATATCTGCAACTCTAGAATAGTGTGTGAGGCCTAAGGGGGCATTATAGTCATATCACTATATAGTCATATCACTTTACTGTTAACCACAAGTTACCACCGTGGCCTTACATGCAACTTCAAAATAGTACAGGGGGTCATTGCAAGAGCAGGGGAATATCTGCAACTCTAGAATAGTGTGTTTTTTCCTACGGGCAAGAAACACGAACTGCCCTTTTCCTTCAAGCCTGGATTGTTTAGTTGGACTAACTTCCTTAGAGACTCTTCCTCTCAAGATTATACCATTTGGGTTAAATGCTATTTGGTTAACTCTGAAATAGTTGAATTTTTTTGCACTTAACCCAACTATAACCAGATGAGAGGTACCGCAACTTAGTAACATTAAATAACCTGTTTAATAACCATGTCCAGGTCAACCATTCCATTCACGAGACAAACACATAAGAGGGTGACTCGACATAGGATAGGCTGCAAAAGACATTTCTTGAAAATGGTCTGCACCCAATTGAATCTTGCTTTTACATATTTACCAAAACAAAAGGATCTAAGCCAGCATTTTCTCCCCACAAGTCCATAACTTTGCTTCTAGCCTTTCTAAACATCTGATGAAGGGACCATCCTTGTCTCAGCTGGAGTGGATATCTGATGAAGAGGCCATCTTTGTCTCAGCCAATGAACCACATCTACCATCTTTGTCTCAGCCAATGAACCACATCTACTTGCACTCTTCTTCCCAGTGCATCCCTGAGGATAATTTAAGCACGTCATTTTCAGACAAACATATTGCAGAACTGCATATAGTTCCAATGCGTGATTTTGAAAAAATGATTTTAAAATGGAACAATGCAAATTGAAAGTTAGAGACATCAAAAGACAATGAATTACTGCAGTGTATATAAATTCATGGAATCCCCACCCAACAACGGGTGCATGATTCCACGTCGCCTGGGTGTGAAAAAGGGGAAATGCTTACATGTGGTAGTGATATCTCTAAATGGTATATGTGGCCACCCAAGAACAAAACCATGCGGGCTTGGGTCTAAAATAGAAAATATCATACTATGCGGTGGAGTAGGTTGTTACATAAGCTATTTACAAAATACCAGTTTTGAAATGATTCTACGAAGGAGATTTCTAAAATAGGTCTTTTCCTACCGAGGTTCCATGTAAGTTGAATCATAAAATCGGGAGGATGGTTAAGGCAAGGGAAGGCAAGGCCTTAGGTATCCCCAAAGCATCTGCAAATTATTTTGCGGTTACCATATTGTAACATAATATTCTCATATCTTTCTCTCCTAAAGATTCTCAAAAATTGAATTGTTTTTGGAAGAAAAAAATGTTTTTAGAATTTTTACAACAGATGTAATGCCTTTGAAAACGGCTGAAAATGAACCAAGCTGAGCCAAACTTTAGTTTGTTTGGGCTAGGGTTTCTTGGTCTAGGGTTCAACTCAGGATTGTAATGAGCTCAAAAATCCGAGTTTGAGCTCAGCTCATCGTTATTTTGAAAACCTCGACCCCAACTCGACTTAGACTCGTTTAATAAAAAAAATTGGCGCAACCATATTCATATTCATGTTTAGGCTCGGTTTAACTTGTGTTCAACATCATTTTGGCTTGCTCATTAACTTATAGAGAGCCTAGACAAGCCCACGTTCATAATCCTACGTTCATGAATATGTTTGTGATCTTATGTTCATGAACAAATACGAGCCTACATGAACTTAGAATTCATGAGCCTACATGAGCACAAACTTAGTGTTCACGATCTGAACCCAACAATGTTTGGGATCAGCTCGTTTACTTAATAAACAAGCTCAAGTCAAGCTTCAAACAAGTCGATTCGAAAATTTTCATCAAAAACTGGGTTCATTAGCAGCCCCCTTGGACATTTAAATGGGTGAATTTTAGGACTAAGCAGGTCAATGCCTACCATTGTCCTTCACTAAAAAAATTATGAAAACTAGAATTTTTCACCTCTGTTTTTTTTTTTTGGGAGGCGGGGTAAAAATGCTAGCAATTTTGAAATATTAACTTTCTAAAAATTGATTAAATGAAAATACAATAATTTGAGAGGCGGCAATTAATTTTCCAGTGCCCAACCAATTTCACTGTTGAACCAAGTTGTTTTGTGAAAAACATCAAGGCTTTTACAATAACGAGAAAAATGGAAATACTGAATGTGTGGAAAATATAAGGCAGTAGAAAATGGACGAGTCTATGAAGGTCCCAGAGTTTACCATTCTTTTCTAGCATATTGGGTGATGGAGATCAGTGGCAGAAATCTTTAAAGGTGTATAAAAGGTGCCAAAAGGAGGATTCGGAGATTCGAATGGGCATAGGCTAGATAATATGGGTCCACTTGGAGTTTGAATAATTGGGAGATTTGGTCAACTTTTAGTTACTTTAATTATGTTATTAGGTAAGTACTGATTACCTTAATTATGGGGTAATCCAAGGGCAATTGATTGCATCAATTATGGGGTTATCATAGAGTCAAATATTGATTAGCTCAATTAGGGGGTGATTACTTTTATTATGCTATAGAGTCAACTTTTGATTACCTCAATTATGGGGTAATCTCAGGGTCATAAGTTGCTATAAGAATGGTATGATGTAAACTTGGTGAGGCAGTCAATGAACGAATAAAAATATCAATGAGATTTCTTTGTGAGTGATTCACAAGATATGGGGGTGTGAGATGCCTAGCCCTATAGGGGTGATTCCAATAGGTTTTTGTTTTCTGTTGGTGTGATGTCAATAGACTTTTTCTTATTTTCAAATCCTCTCTTTCTTGAACCATAATCTGTTTCTCTGATCCTGTTGGTGTGATGCCAAGAGGCAGCACTTATTCTATTCCCCTTGATTTCCTACATTTATCAAACCTCCAAATATCAGCCCTAGTTGTTTGAATTTCAGCCTCTGAACTCTGTATGTTTTTACCTATTTAAGGCTTCTCCCTTGTTCTACATCAGTTATTTGCAAATGCATTTCATGCTTTGCAGCCCCTTAAAGTTTCTGCATTCAGCTTTGTGAGGCTTGAGCTGGTGAGTCAAAAAATTTTCATGCCAAAATTGCTGGAAGGAAACTCTTTCAAGGCTTGCTGGTAGACCTGTTCCAATTTCTGGAGCCATTTTTGACAAATGCTGAACTTGGAGAGCCGATTCATTTTCTTTATAAAGGCACATTCAGGGTGTTGCTAGTTCTACTTCATGATTTCGCAGAGTTCCTTTGTGATTGTCATTTCAGCTTCTGTGATGTTATTACCTTCTGGATGCATCTAGATTCAAAACATTATCTTGGGTGCATTTCCACACAATATGAAGCTCCCTAAGACTCCCAACTTGAAGATTGATTTGCTTTCAGAGGTCAACCAATCGGCATGTGTTTAAAGGTGTATAAAAGGCGCCAAAACGAGGATTCGAAGATTTGAGCTAACATAGACTAGATAATATGGGTGCACATAGAGTTTGAATAATTGGGAGATTTGGTCAACTTTTAGTTACTTTAATTATGCTATTAGGTAAGTATTGATTACCTTAATTATAGGGTAATCCAAGAGTCAATAGATTGCCTCAACTATGATCATAGAGTCAAATATTGATCACCTCAATTACGGGGCGATTACTTTTATTATGCTATAGAGTCGATTTTTTCTTAGCTCAATCATGGAGTAATCTTAGGGTCATGAGTTGCTATAAGAATTGTATGACGTAAACTTGTTGATGCGGTCAATGAATGAATAAAAATATCTTTGAGATTTCTTTGTGAGTGATTCACAAGATATGAGTGTGTAAGGCCTTCTCTAGGTGTAATGCCTAGGCCCTATAGGAGTGATTCCAATAGGTTTTTTGTTTTCTGTTGGTGTGATTCCAATAGGCTTTTTCTTATTTTCAAATCCTCTCTCTCTCTCTCTCTCTTGAATCATAATTTATTCCCCTTCAAATCCTTTATTTTTCTACATTTCTACTATCGAACCTCCAAATTTCAACCCTAGTTGCTAGAACTTTCAGACTCTGAATTCTTTTGAGTTCTTAGCTATTTAAGGCTTCTCTCTTGTCCTACATCATAGAGTAACCCTTCCTGCACTTGCACGGTATCCCTCTAAACCAATCACCCTGGCCTCCTCACAGCATGCACTGCTTGGGTACTTGACCTGAGCTTTTATAGGCAAACTGTAGAGGGTATAAGTAAGGAGATATGTTACAACAATCCACTATTATTTTCCATTGACATAATCCTTAGCTTTAAGAGATGGACCACTAGAGGTGCAACTGAGAATGGGATCCAACAATTTATATTGTTTTCCATCGTAGAGGGTAACCTTGTCGAGGTATGCACTTGCAGGGTATCTTTTAACTGGTAACTCTAACCTACCCTCCTCACAGCATGCCCTACTCGGTGACTATCCCTAAACTTTAAGAGGAAGGCGGATAGAACTTGACTTAGATGAGCCAGAGAGTAAAGGCTCTCTTCAACTCTCTCTCTTTGGTTCGCTTTCTCTCTAAAAGGGGGGTTTGTGGACGGGTGAAATATGAAGGAGAAAGGGGTTTTATAGGAATAAAATCGAAATTTCAATTTTGGGGAGCAAGTTGGGGCTAATTTTGTCCTTTACTGGTTGAGGGATGATGTGGCAGATTCTAGTTTGGCCACATCACCAAGGGGTTGCACATGCGTGTGCGTCACATACTAACTCATGGGATTGACCTTTAAGGCGTGTATGTGCGTCCTAGAGTGTCGTGTTCATGTTAACCTACATAGCAGCATACCCATGCCATGACACGACATGAATACAACACAAACAAAAATGTCACCCTTACTCATTTATAGCATTAACTACAACAAATCATTGGAAAGGCAATGGTTAGGATAACTAAAAGTTTAACCATCAACCCAAAACAAATAAAGTAATACATATATGAAATGAAGACGAAAAAGGTAAAGGAAGACAAAGTTTTCACTTTACCTTCATCACTAGGTTGAATGGGAATTGATTGTAATGTCTCAAAATCCTTAGAGGCTCTCCCAAGAATATAAAGACAATAGCACCAATTAAAAAGATTTGCGTATACAAGTCGCCAAGACCTACTGGCAATCTCAAAAAAAGGGACATCACCAAGGCCACGATGGTAATCCTCATCCAGTAGGTCCTGAAATCATGAGAAAGAATCAAAAAATGTTCAGTATCCCATATTCCCGTCTCTATTAAAAGCATCAAAAGAGACCTAATTTTTTTTTTTGATAAGTCAAAAGAGACCTAAATTTAACATATATTTACACATATGCATATATACTAAGAAGCACGGACACGGGTACGGGACACGGATACGACACGACACGGACACAGCGACACGGCAAATCTAAAAAAATTAGGACACGGACACGGCAAATAGTATATATATATATATCAGCATTAATAATTTTAAAAAAAAACACTGATATGTTTAGGTAGGAATATATATATATATATATCACTGATATGTTAGTATATATATATATCAGCATCTTTAGGACACGGACACGGCGAATTGTGGCATCTTTAAGTTACTATATATATATATCACCATCTTTAGGGTAGTACAAAACAAAAAATAGAACATATTAGCATTAAAATTTAAAAAAAAAAAAATTAACATATCAGCATTAAAAATTAAAAAAAAAAATCCAGAAAAGTGTGTCCGAGCCGTGTCCGAGCCGTGTCCGAGCCGTGTCCGAGCTGTCTGAGCCGTGTCTGTGCCGTGTCCAAGCCGTGTCCGAGCCGTGTCCAAGCCATGTCCGAAAATAAAAAAAAATAAAATAATTCCAGACACGTTTTTTGGCGTGTCCGACACGTGTCGGGGCGTGTCCGACGCGTGTCCGTGTCCGACACGTGTCGGACACGGATTATTCGCCCATTTTGGAGTGTCCGTGCTTCTTAGCATATATATAACTAATAAACTATATGACACAATCTACAAACGTATATAACAAATACACATTGAACTAATTGCCCGTCTTTGGAGAATTGGACTGGATGTAGGATGCCTTCTGAATTCATATTATCACACTGGACAATTCAAGTATATACAGCCTAAAAATAATCAACTTTTTCTTTTCTTTTTATTTTATTTCATGGTAAGTCCAATCAACTCTATTAAGGAAGTTTTTGTAAAGATGAATAAGAAGCCTTGCAAATACAAAAAGCTGGAAAAGGTTGTCACAAGATTCAACATAAAAAGCAACAACTGCCCCTCTCAACCCCATTCCCTCTTCTAGTACAACATTGAACATGTGGTTAGCATCAGCATTGTTTTAAACTTAAAACTTCCACATTGGAAGTCATATGAAACCAAGCTTGGTCCCATAGTTGACATCTGATCATTAAGTACTAGAACTACTAAAGAAGCCAACACAAGCACATACACACACATATATAAGATACTCACCATAAGTCATACTCTCGGAGTTCGCGAACGAAGGGCTTGAATTCGGCCTGGGAAATTACGGGGAGAGGCTGATCTATAAAGTGAGGTAGGTCCGGTGATGACAGATATTTTCCCAGGAAAAACATCAACCAAACCATACTATTAATGGTAACTAAACCAAGTCCACCAATAAAAATAGCTCTATAGATGTAAACCGCTGTCAAACAAAATGCAACAATCCATCGCTGCACCATATAATAGATAATTTTATCCCTCCACTGTTGCATAAGAGCTGCAAAGTAAGAAGCCAAGCCCGTCCATGTTGAAGAAAGAGTGTCCTTAGGTCCATTCAGGAGAGGAACAAAGTTCCTAACCTTTTCCCTATGGCATAAAAAATAACAAAGTGTTACTGATTGGAAAAAGATAGAATGGACGAATAAAAAATAAAAATAAAAACCATCCTCTGGTCCATCCGTGAAGAAACAACTAGGGCAACCCACATCAAGAAGATAAAAAATTTGACATTTAATTTATCATTAATACTTGGCCCTACTTTCTCAAATAAATTTAAATTATAGAAAATTAAGTGGTTCAAGTTCGAGTGTGATAAAAAAAGGGTGGGTGAATATATATGTATTTTTTATGGTAATAAAAGAAAATCCATTAACTGATGATTGGTTTGATCACCATATCCATCCCGAAATGAAGATCTAAGTTCGCCATACATTCTTAAACTCTCACTCCAAATATCTTCCTTAAACATGAGAGCTTCATAATTAACTTTGCATCTCAACCGTTGGTATTCCGGGCATTATAGGCTCAGATGCCGAAGTTGGAGCAGTCCAAACAACAAGCAGAGATCAAGCTCACCAAAACCAAGGCTTCATGGGCAGATATAAAGGCCAAATTTGAAGATTTTCACCAAAATTTTAAGCAATCTTGAATATTTGTGGTTTTATGAACAAGTTCTCCTAGCAGTATCGCCATTTATTTATTATTATTATTATTATTTTTTTTTTTTTTTTCCATTTTCACATCAAGTTTAATGCATGGTACTCAAATTTTGAATATAGGGTTTCAGAAACAAACAAATTAATAGAGGCTTTTTTTTATTATTATTATTTTTTTTAATGGTGTTGCAGGTCTAGAAACATCAATTCGCACTATTAATTCCAAACTATTCACTCCAAATAGACAACCCATACGAGAACTCAATTGTGTCTGCTCTTATGGATTCTATAAATGGGATGATTCAAATACTTTGATTAATCTTAGATTAAATTCTTTGTGGAGTTTGATATTAAAATGAATTAGAAGATGGTAAATTAGTTCGATCTATCCTGTTTTACCTCCACAGACTATGAAATTTCCGATAAATCTGAAGAAAACCTGAATTTTTTACTGAAGAAATACAAAAAGGTTGAAACCCTTGGAATAACAAAAAATAATATTCATTGAAATAAAACTCAAAAATTGAGTGTGTGGAGGGGAAAAAGAAAGTACCAAAGTAAAGAAGATCTCGCAGAAGCAGCAGTGTCCTCAGATCCATTCACATGAATAATTAAGCTGTTAACTTTCTCGCTGTTGCATAAGCATCCATGAAGAACCAAACATAAGGTTGATGTGGTCAGATAGGAATGGTTTCTTTGATCTATAGAATTAAGAAATATGAAATAAGAGTAGAAGGATATAATCAGAAAAGAAAATTTATATATTCTAGCTTTCATAGGCAAAAGTTAGATGAAACCAAGTCAGATCTGGCTACCACCACTGCCAGCCAGCCTTCATGGTTATCCAAGCCCCTTGCTTTGCCGTCCCGATCGAAAGAGGAATAGGAAGAGGAAGAAGAGTTACCTGGGAACAACACCGCTTGTCGCCGCCGTTTCCTCCATCGCCATCGTCATCAGAGTAGAAACCCTATGCAGCTGCCTCTCCTCACCTACAAATTAATGTGGGGAGTGATAAAGTAGATTCAAACCCTAGCCCCTATTCAGATCCTTTGTTGCTTACCGAACCAGCCCAACTCCTTTATAGCTTACCGAACCAGCAATAAAGGAATGAGATTGCGTTACTGTGATGAATGGAGAAGAGAAGAGAAGTTGCGACGAGACGGTGACGCTGTGTTTGGAATGCCGGATTTGATGGGATTTGGATTTGGAAATAGAATTTATGTTATTTGGAATTACAGAATTATATATAGGATTTGATAAGTATATATATATATATTTTGTATACGTGGGTATCTTATATTGCGTTTTTAATATATTGATCCTCAAAATTATAGAATTTTGAGTAAGATATGGATTTTTCAAAATTACTAAAAGTCTGCGTTTAAGTGATTGATCCCTCAACAGTTTTGTATTCTTATATTGAAATCTACATTACAAAATTTTATAACCAAAACTTATAAATAATTCATTTATACCAATATTATCTTTAATAATTAATTTTTTTTTTTTTAAATAAATTTCATGATTCAGAGTTCCATCACGTAATTATCCTCGTGTTATATTTTGCAATAAAATAAATATTTTATTTACTATTTAAATAAGGGCAGAAATGGTATTATATTATTTTTTATTCAAAATCCCATTTTAAATCCAATTTGTTCCAAACATATAAATAGAATTTGATTTTAATTCCAATTCCTATTCCAATTCAGATTTCTTTTCCAAATCTTAAAATAATTGATTCCAAACAAAGTATGGAAAGTTTTACAATTCCCACAAAGCTTAAATATATATTCAACATGAAACAATAGGACGAGGGAGTTAAAAAAATAAAAATAATAATAATATTTGAGATAAGTATTGAAATCTGTTGGACAACTATTTAAATTTCGCTATTGAAAAATGAAAGGAAATAAAAATTTTAATATATAGAAATAATTTTTTTGGGGAGTCTTTATAATATTAACATAACGGATAAATATAGAAATCTTTTGGACCTACTATTTAAATTTCTCTATTAGAAGAAAAATAATTTATTGTCTCCACTGAGATTGTTGGTCATATTGTTAAATTAAGTTAATAAATACTTTAAATATTTTTCTGCACATCACGGCTTTGAAAAACCAGTTAGAATAATTTGTCATGACTTATCTTATGATTCAAAGGAAATTAATATAATTCAATCGCTTACACAACCACACAAGTATTTAATATTAGTTATTAATTCCTATATTGTTAGAGAATAAGAAACATATTCTTGTATCAGTTCGTTGGACCTCTTTTATCACTGGAATTCGAGTGAAATGGTTAGTAGAGGCTCTTATGCTCTGATAAGATATATTTTCCAGAAAAGGGTGGGATAAAACCACCACATGATTAATGTTAGATAGGTTTTATTATTTATTATTATTATTTTTTCTGGGGATGGAAAAAAGAATCGTGGTTGAGTTATTTGGTGTTGATGAGGTATAAATGGTGAAATGATAATACACGAAGAGGTGCCCAAATTGCCAACCAAGAAGAGGTGCCCAAATTTCCATACTTCATGCATTAGTATTCGCCCCCCAACACCAAACAGATCACCCACAACTCTCTGTGTAACCTTTACCAAATTACAAGTAATTTATAGTCGCTCATATACATTACTTAGTTTCAGCTCACCCAGTTTTGATAGTAATAATATACAAGTAATATAGTGTTTTCATGAAAAATAATAAATAGTGGTAGAATTTTAGTTTACTTAATTTCTTTTTATCAACATCAAGCAATTAAGAGCACCTACTTTGTGAAACAAAACTATCATATTACTTTGTTATAATTCACATCAAAGAATTTATGAGCTGCATAATTGTGCAGAATTGTCTAATATTAGTAGAACAAGAAGTAAAAATGCAACTATTCAGCACAACAAAAAAACACTGAATTCGGTTGCATGACCATCACCTGTCCAGGTTCACCCTGAACCTCCGCCCATTACCGGGCCCTCGTTGATACCGAGTCGAATAAAGAGGCTCTGACTGCACATTGCCTCTCTCTATCGATAATGGGCCTCGTTGATACCAAGTCGAATAATGAGGCTCTGACTGCATATTGCCTATCTCTGTCCATCATCCCCTCGCTTGGTCTCTCCTATTCTCTCTTCTTCTTCATGTACTCTTCTTCCTTCCCGTCTGTTCACAAGAAGTTTAGATTTTGAAGGGTTCAAACTTTTTAGTCTGCTGTCTTCATATGACAAGGGTTGAAGTCCCTGCAAATCAGGCTCCGGAACAAATCCAATAGGCCATTTTGATTTATCCATTTTCCGGAAAGTAATTGATATCCTATGAGTTAGACAGGAAACATATTAATCAAAATCATTTATTCAAATAAACAAGAAAGAATTTAATAACAAAAACTGCAGTAAAAATAACCAAACTAGAGAGTGTCATGTACGTTTTAGTAGGTACTGCAGACACACAATGCTTAGCCACATCGGCCCCATTTCCTTTTAATACAAGGACAGATCCGGACGAGAACGAAAAACAATGAATTTCAACTTGAAGAATTTGATTTCTCGGAAACAAAAATTAAATTTAATAAATAATAAATAAAAGCTATGCAGTAGATGGAATAAAAGAAAAAGGAAATGCATGAAAGCTGACATGCACATCAGACTTACCCCAAGAGCAGGGGGATTTCGCTAGGACCAGTAAACTCGCCAGCACCCACAACTTCCAAGTTTGTTCCAAAGATTATATTACACTGACTCAGAAATGAAACAGTACAAAATGGTCGAACAAACTGATGGTTGTCAATGTGAGGAGGTATGCAGTCGCCTTCATCATAAATGTTGACGATACAGTTGTCAGGTACACAGCACGGAGGAAGAACATGCCATCTTATGAGCCTCCTGATGATCACTTTAAAAAGATGTGGTAGAGGATCCATAATTTCATTCCGCATGATGCCTGGTCGATTACCATTTTTATCCTGCCACAGTGTTGAAAATTTGAAATCATAAGCTCTTCTATCCATTTTACACACTTATTTCATTCTAGAGCTGTCACACAAGTATCATATCTACTAGAGAAACTTACTGTTGCGTAGTTGTAGCAGCAACCAAATTGGATGGTCACACGCCCCTTGCCCCTCATCCACTTTTCTGGTGCAGTATATGTGCGCGCTGCAAAAGCATAAACATAGACGCTTCTCAACCAGTTCATGGAAGAACGACAATAAAAATGAAAGAAAAGCACCCTTTCTAGGGAGAAACCAAAATAATATCTAGATAATTAAATTTTAAAATTCTACACGCAGAAGTGCATAGAATGAAAAATCCATGGCCTCATTAGCCACTGGCACATTCGACTCTTAATATGCAAAGCAACAATAAATTACATTCTTAATCATCTAATTAACCAACAAATCAGATGAAAAATATTACCCAGTAAGGAGTACAGAAATCGGACCAGCTGACATTCAAAATTTGGAAAGTGCTATTTTCTCTTGTGGTCACAGTTTGAAGACTCCAAAGTATAAAATGCCCAGATAGGCATCTGACACACGGGCTTAATTACTTAATGTAGCGTAACATGACAGACAGACGGTTCTTTGTAAGAGGCTAGGCCATGTCTGTCTAGCATCCTGCTGGAGACGACATTTCTACACTCCTAGATGCATGGCATACACATCTCAAAAACGTATACAGTTTTTTCCAGAAGAAACTTATAACATACACGCCGAGGAAACAAGTCAAACATGATATGGACACTTCAATTTAGCAAAAGAACACATTTGTGGAAATAAAGATTATAATGGAGTAGAATTAGCACTATTGCACATTTTTAAGTACATGTACTATATTATTTGAGTTCATTTTCTCAGACAGATATTCATATAAAATTTTAAATAAATGCATAAATCTTAATCGAGAAAACTAATAAAACTAGCATACCAATCATTCATTCATTCTCTTTCCAAATAGCAAGTAGAGGAAGCTCAAGCACTAGGCAAACGCCTAGGGCCCCACCTGAACAGAGGGCCCAGTAAATAAAACTAGCATAACAATCATTCATTCATTCTCTCTCCAAGTAGCAAGCAGAGGAGGCTCAAGCACTAGACAATTGCCTAAGGCCCCAATAAAAAAAGGCCCAATCAGATTTCTTATAGCTCCCAATGTAGTTTTATATTTGATATGCTTCAACTCTTAATATGCAAAGAACACATGTGTGGAAATAAAGATTATAATGAAATAATCACCAAATGGCATTTTGGCAATGCTGTAACTTCACCCCCGGTAACAATATCGTGTTTGAACCAGATACTCTGAATCATAACCTAAACTAGTAAGAAACTCAAAATCCGTTGTTTTAACTTTTCAAGGATCAAAGTTGTTTCACTGGACATAAATGGGACCTTAAAATTTTCATCGGAACTTTAAATAGTTCTCCTTAGGCCTGCAATTGTATTGGGCTGACCTGATAGAACACGTAATTTTGTGAGTGAGGCTTGTCAATATCAAGTTGGTAAAAATACCGAAACCTATCGGGGACCTCAGATAGGACCTAATACCACAAACATATTGTAATTTGAAATATTTTAATATATATATATATATGTATTCAATAATTTTGGGTATTCCTATATGCATGACCAACACATGCCTAAGATGATGAGAACTGGAATATCCAATGGGGAAAATAAGTGTGTAATCATTGTAGAATACGAACAAATTTTGAATCCTCGGGTCATCTTTAAAGAAAAATAAATGGTGCATGTTAAGAGCAAATTGTGTAGAACCTACTCTTGACTCAGTTGCCTGGAAAATAACCTCAAGTTTCTATGTGCAAATTAGGAAATGTTATATTTTAGTTTTAATATATAATTTTTTCAAAATTGTAAAAGTACACCCAATTCAAACAAACAAAAAAGGGCTTTAGTCTCAACCTTGAACACTTCCCTTTTACTGCTTATCATCTTTCTCTCGTAAAGCCTCTTCGCAATTTTTTTACAAAACACATATAGTTCCTCTCCTCCACGTTAGTCATTGATATCTCTCTTTTACCCTGTCATTCTTTCTTCAAGACAGAAACGGGAAGAGAGAATCATACAAGTCCTCTTTCAGTCTCACTCTTTGTGAATGAAATTTTCATTTTAGGTTAAAAAAAAATAATAATAATAACAATAAGAATAATAGTTTTTGTGAATTGACATTTCAAATAATTAATACTACAGTAGTCTTACAATTTAGTTAGATTATTTCATATATCAAATAAATTATCATTTTACTTTCAAAATATAAAATCTCGTCGACGACAATCATAAATGTATAGAAAAGAATTATTATCAATCAATTTTTAAGTTTTCATATTTCCATTTTAGTAAAAAAAAAAACATAATAATAACCATGACATTGTTCAACACTGCCCCCACTAATTTAATTTCATGGCTCTGCCACTAGTTATTTATACCTTCATAACTTTTATGACCACAAATGCACATGAACGATAAATATGGAAGTTATTCAATTAAAAATGTTTAGACAATTTGATAACATAATCTAAAATATGAGAAGTGCATATTTTAAATAATTATGCAAATACAATTATAAAGGTGACTGATAACGTGATTGATATATGTATTGATAATTAAGAAATTACTAGTTAGTGAATAATAATTAATAATTTGGTATATACTATATCTTTTTTTATTTTATTATATTGAAAAATTCGTATACTATATTTAGTTCTTATTAAGTTAATAACTATTGTTTAGCAATAAGTAATCTATGTATCAAATAACTAGTACTAGCAGCCTAGTAATTTATTAAATATTAACTTTATAAGATTACAATTTTATGTATTAAACTCTTTATAGCATTTAGTAACTATTATTATCTAGTATTAAAATATGTTTCTGGTGGGTTTATGTGTTGATGTTGTTTAAAAAATAACAAAAAAAAATGATTTAGGAAAAAGTAGCAGAAATGGAAAAACCTTACCCACTGAAACTACTTGCGGTGCCACGACAGAATGTGATGGTATGCAATGGCTTTTAATTGCATGTAACAGCCCGTTACAACTTTTAAAGCTGTAAATTTTAGTAGGACAATGTTATTGCAAGTGATAGCATCGCCAAATGCCTTCATGTAATGTTACGGCCAATATCAAAAACCATATTCTACATTACATGAGCTGTTTTCTATTATTGTTATTTTCTGATGGACATTGCTCTAAGTTATAATGCCATAGAAAACCCAGTTTAAAATCTCGAAGCAGTTCCCCAAGATCAAACAGCTATACTAATAGAGTCAACTAGGACGAAAATTCGTACCATGCCAAAAAGAAGAAAAATAAACTTTTTGTAGATGTCAGACAAATAATAAATTCATAATTTCATTTATTTTTCAACTTATGACCCTAGTAAGAAACTGCAAGCTTATATGAAAGCAGTGAAGCTACCCATATCTATCAAAATTAATACCGGAATGCATTTAAAAATAAAGAAAGAAAGAACTAGAATTAAAATTAGAACAAAGAATCCAATTATTTAATGCATATAGATTATGGAATGGAATGATCAAGTAATTAAGGATCTCTAGTTAAGCAAAAGGTTGAAAGTCAGAGATACCATGAAGCGCAATACAATGAGATAGAACTAGCTCTACAGGATATACAAATAATACAATTACTTGACATCCACAAGAAACCCTGAGTTTTGCTTGAATTCCCTTGACATACAGCATACAGCATATTAGAAGGTAACTGATGACCCACTAGGGAGCATTGTAAAGATAGCAAAATAGAGCTAATACAAGAACCAATAACCTAGGGCAGTGGAAAAATGAAAAATATAGTTAATTTAAAAAGAAATCATGTCAGTGCAAGTTAAGGCACATAAACCATCATGAACAATTAGTCAACAAATTGCTGCTGTTGTTATTTAAGAATGAAGAACCTCTACAAGATTTTTTCGTGGTTTTTCCTACCATTCTAATGCTTATGGCAGTTATAAAGAAATTGCAATCAGGATGTTCTCATATCCAGCCTCCATGTAAATAGGCTTCGCCACGACTCATACAACAAGTTCCAATAATCCTTGAAATTAGCTTTTACACAAATGATAAATGAAAAAACATGGGTTTGACTTTCCATATGTGGAGGGGAATTTCATCATTCGATGTACAAAACCTTTAACCCAAAAAACCATGATTCTAATGACAAAAAACAATTAAATACAGTAAAGAGTAAAGTAAGAGAAAAAAAAATTAAAGCATTATGACAAGCACTGCACAGAGTTTTATGGACTAGTGGTGGACTAACCTTTCAATTCCCCATTCTTTCCCTTCTCCTCAAGCAAATACACTAAGTCAACTATCCTCTTCTGCTCCACAGCACTGAAAACCCCCGTGTGGAGCTCCAGCCCATCAAGAATGTTAACAATTCTCCCTTTAACTCTCTCCAAGCAGATATAATCAGTATTCCTCTGAACGTTATTAAACCGGATGTACTCTCTTTGATCTCTTGAGGGCTCTGGCTTCGGCCTGTCCTTAGCTGCCATTATCACCTCTCCTGACAGCGCATGCCCATTTGATTCATTCTCTTCCTCTTCCTCAAGCTCATCTTCCTGCGCCATCTCAGCCCACGACATTCTCCGGCTTTCAACATGTGATGGGGAGCCTGTCATTCTGCTTGTCCAGGTGGACTCGGGAGTAACTAAAATTTTAAATATTTACGAAACGGAATGCATTGTCAAGATTAAAATTTAAGAGTAAAATCTCAAGTTTAAGGGGTTGCAATTAATATGTATAAATATTCAGGGAGAAAAACAAACCAGATTGTATTTATCTAGGGTAAATTGCATAAAACCCCCCTGAATTATAATTTCTCTCCCTAAAAACCCTACCAAACTTCTATTTTTACAGTTAACCCCCTATTCAAAGTTTTGCAAAAATCACTCACCAGCGAGGTTCCAGTTGATTTTTCGACTATTAGAATCGTGATGATCACATGCTAGGGCTATAATTCTAAAATGGTGAGCCTATCTGTGGAGGGAAAAAACTCCCTCCAATAAAAAGCGCACACGTCACCACTACCCATATCTACATTCCAAGGACGTATAAGGCCCATTATGCTCAAGCCCAAGTTGAGGGTATTTACAGCCCAAGACCATTGTTATTTGTCCTCCAACTTCCATCAAGGCCGAATCAAGAAGTCATCAGCCCAGCTTATGAGTATTTAACATCCGGCCTGTTACTCAAGCCCAGCCGGATCAAAATATATTCGGCCCTAGAATGCACAAGTCCTACCATTTGAAGGGTTTACTGTAGAAGGAAAATTCTGATAGGAAGTTCTGTACAAGGCAAGTTCTATGTATGAAAAATTCGACAATGGAAAAAACTCTATTAGAAAAGAATGGTTATATAGAAAGAATTGGAGGGCAAGCAACGCGAGTCCTACCATAATCTTGCAATCTTTTGTATATAAATAGAGGCTAAGACCTCCAATAAAGGATCAAGCAATTCTACGCTTCTCTACACACTGTTCTTATTTATTTTTATTGTTTTTGAGTGAGTTGTTTTATTTTTCTCAATCATTATTGGTTGGGCGAAATTTTGCACCTACACTTTGGCGCCGTCTGTGGGAAACGTATAGAAATATACTCCCACTTGTTCTTCAAATTAAATCCTTTAGTCGTGTCTGGAATGTCAAACGGAGAGTCAGCAATGAATCAACAGATAGAATTGATGCAAAAGATGCGAGAAGAGTTCTTGCACCAATTTGAGACACTCCGGCAAGCAAACGATACGAGTGTCGCCCAGATAGCTGCGCTTCAGCAGCAGACTCATATGCTGCACACGGCCATGGCCAGGCTAACGCCACAACCACCACCAGGCGATGCTGCGGCACCACCCCCCACCCGGAATTTACCTCCGGTTCGCGAGCATCTAGCCAACGAGACACCACCCAACGGGGCTTGACCTAGTGAGGTTCAGCAAAAGCAAGGGACGAGGTCCGAGGCGGTTGCTTCGGATAATCTCCCGCATCGCACACAGGACGAACAGGCCGAGTCCAGCCATAGGCTTACGGTATAGTCCAATGGCGTTCCAGATGGCGCACGTGTACAAGATGCCTTCGACGAAAAGAAGCTCTTGAGAGTCCAGACACCAGCCGAGATGGCTAGAGAGCACAAGAACTCCTTGGTCAAGACCCCATTTACTGACGAGGTGTACCTTGTGGAGAGGCCGAAGAAGTTCACTATGCCATCCTTCACCCAGTTCGATGGGGCAGGAAACCCCTCTAGGCATCTCGATCATTATGCGCAAAAGATGGCACTGGACGATCATAACGATCCGTGGATGTGTAAGGTTTTTCCTACCAGTTTAACCGGAGCAGCGTTAGAATGGTTCAGAAATAGGCCACACAAGTCTATCCCTGACTATGAGACCTTGTGCACTATGTTCTTAGCCCAGTATTGCGGAAATAAGAAGCAGAAGAAAACTATCGCCAGCCTTTTCACCATAAGGCAAAGGAAGGGAGAAACTTTGCAAGATTTTTTATCCAGGTTTAACATGGAGGCCTCGGAGATAGCAGATTGCCATCCTGCCACGGCAATCGAAACATTTAAGTTGGCAATGATCCAGGGAACCAAGTTTCACACATCCTTGGTCAAATATTCCCCCCCGGATATGCAGACTTTGAACGCTAGGGCACAAATCTACATTCGGTTGGAGGAAAACGTAGCTCACCGTGCACAGCACGCTACCCTCGTCACAGTGGAAAACAAGTCTCGAGAGAAAGCTGCGAGCACAAGGATGCAGAAGGTTCCTCATACCGCCACACAAGTCACCCAAGCGTCTGAGAAAAGGCGAAGGACAGAGGACAGGCTTACCCCTCTCCGTACTACCTTGGCGCGCCTATTCCAAGAGAATAAGACGAGGTTCGCGACTCCTCAGCCCATGAAACAACCCTTGGAGTAGAGGGACAAAAGCAAACATTGTGCCTACCATAGAGATTATGGGCATACCACCAATGACTGCAGGTCCCTACAGCGACAGGTAGAAAGCATGATAGCGAGAGGAGAATTGGTGGAGTATCTCGCCACGAAGGAGCACGTAAAACCTCGGGAGGTTAACCCTCGACGGGTAGAGGGCGGTCAGGTAAAGGTTATCCATGCTCTACACGGAAGGTCAGAGGATGATGAAGAGTCTGAAGAGTTGTACAGATCCAGGCTGAGAGAGGCTCATAAGTTACGAAGATTGTCTTCGGTAAACACGGTTGCACCAGGCAGCATCAACATTGGATTCGGTAACAATGATCTTTCTAGAGTCCAGCGCCCGCATGAGGACCCCTTGGTCATCAGCCTCCTGGTAACGAATTACATGATCAGGAGAGTGCTGATAGATCCGGGAAGTAGCGCCAACATCATTACAAAAACAGCTTTTGATCAGTTGGGGGTTTCACCGTCCATCAGGCCAACTTCCGACCCCCTAATGGGATTTGACGGTACTAAGGTGAATCCGCTTGGGGTGATCGATCTATCCGTTACTGCAGCAAAAAGAACTCTGAAGGAAAACTTCGTCGTGACAGAGATTCATCCATCTTATAACCTCATTATGGGGAGAGGTTGGATCCATCGTATGAACGGAGTCCCCTCTACACTTCATCAAGTAATGAGGTGTTTATCCCCGGATGACAGGGAGGTAATCGACCTCTGGGGAGACCAGGTTGCTGCCAAAGAATGTTACATGCTAACGTTACACGAAGCAAAGAAAGCGTCGAAATCACCTCAGTCAGAGGCGAATCCCAAAGACGCAATCAAATAGCAGTTACAGTATCCTCTGCCCAAGTATCTCAAGGCAGAGGAAGAAGCCGAAGCTGAAGCACCTACCGAGGAGTCCCTCGAAGCTATAGAGGTAGTCCTCGGAGACCCTCAGAAGATCACCTACATTGGCTCATCTTGCACAGCTGAAGAGAAGGAAGCATTGATCAGGGTCATTCGGTGCAATTCGGATGTCTTTGCCTAGGATCACTCGGACATGGTGGGGATCAATCCTACAGTCTCATGCCATAGTCTGAGGGTTAACCCAGAGTTCAGGCCAGTCAAGCAGAGGCACCGACGGTTCGCACCTGAACGGAATCGCATAATAGCCGAGGAAGTAAATAAACTATTACAAGCAGGATTCATTCGAGAGGTGCAATACCCACAATGGCTCTCAAATGTAGTAGTCGTTCAAAAGAAGAATGAGAAATGGAGGGTATGCGTAGATTATACCAACCTTAACAAAGCTTGCCCAAAAGATAGCTTTCCTCTGCCCAAGATTGATCAAATGGTGGATGCTACGACGGGTTATGAAAGGCTCACATTCCTCGATGCATATTCCGGCTATAATCAGATTCCCATGAATCCTGAAGATGAGGAGAAAACCGCTTTCATCACAGAAATGGGCACTTACTGCTACAGAGTGATGCCCTTCGGTCTAAAGAATGCCGGAGCCACCTACCAGCAACTTGTCAATAAAATTTTCAATAATCTGCTGGGAAATACAGTTGAAGCCTATATCGATGATATGGTGGTCAAAAGTATACGGAAAGAGGACCACCCGAAGCACCTCCAGGAGGTCTTTGATACTCTCAAAAGATACAATATGAAGCTGAATCCCACCAAGTGCTCCTTCGCCGTCTCGTCAAGACAGTTCCTTGGGCACGTCGTAAATAAAAGAGGAATAGAAGTAAGCCCAGCTCAGGCAAAGGCACTCATACAGAACCAGGAGCCGAAAACCCGCAGGGAAGTGCAAGTTCTAACCGGCCGAATTACGGCTCTTAGCCGGTTCATATCCCGATTATCTGATAAGTATAAACCTTTCTTTGATGCTATTCGATCCAAAAACAAATATATGTGGGGGCCTCAGCAGCAGGAAGCTCTCAATCAATTGAAAAGCTACATGACAAAACCCCTAATCCTTTCTGCTCCAACGCCCGGAGACACTCTCATCCTGTACCTGGCAGTATCAGCTGTAGCAACAAGTGCAGTGTTGATCAAAGAAGGAGGTAAGGTTCAGCACCCAATCTTTTACACAAGCAAAACGATGACGGATGCCGAGACACGGTACAGCAAGACAGAAAAGGTAATCCTGGCGTTAATTCATGCCAAGAGGAAACTTCGACATTACTTCGAGTCTCACAGCATAGTGGTACTTACAAATCACCCTATACGGGCTATCCTAGCTAGACCAGACCTGTCTGGTCGAATTACAAAATGGGCTATTAAACTTAGCTCTTTTGACATCACCTATGCACCGAAGGTATCTCACAAGGGGCAGTCGGTAGCGGATTTCCTACTAGAGTACGAAGATCAACCTAAGGAACCGACACTTCAAGAGCCATACTGGGAGTTACGAGTTGATGGCTCTTCCAATCGGAAAAGGGCCGAGGCCGGGATTGACATCACAACACCCGAGGGTACCAAACTGCAGCAGTCAATTTTGCTAGATTTCCCATCTACTAATAACGAGGCCGAGTATGAGGCGATGCTCGCCGGACTTCGGCTAGCTAAACAGCTACAGGTACGATATTTAATGACTCACAGCTTGTGATCAATCAAGTGACAGGGCAATATTCTCCCAAGGAGGAACGTATGAAGTCGTACAAAGATGCTGTAGAGAGTGCTATCCGGGAGTTCGATCAAATCGAGTTCCATCA